TTTTTTTTTTGGTACATTGATTAGTATAACTTTAGATATATGGACAGATGTTGCTTAATAACTTTGAATGTTTGTTAAAAATTATATTAGGTTTATTGATTGAGAAAATTATATTAGGTTTTACTTTTTTTATTAATATTATTGCATTTCTTTGTTAGTTTTTTTAATTGACTCTTACAATTTTGAATGTTTGTTAAAAATTCATATGATTTTTTAAAATCTTATAAATCCATATTGTCCTTTCAAATCTTATAAATTATGTTAAAATCCTTTAAAATCCAATCTTATAAAATGTTGATTGTAAAAAAAAGTTTTTAAAGTCCCTCCAATTTTAAATAGTCTTTTAAAATATATAGGATTTTTTATCTCGAAAAAGTCTTTTAAAATCCTAATCTAATACACCCCCTAGTTATTCATTGGTTTTTGGGAAAGCAAAGAAACAGACATACAACTTTGCTGAAGAAATAGAAATCTAACCCTAGTGTTAAAGTTGTTTAAACTGGGTTTGAAGTTTGTACAATTAATTGTTGTAGTAGTATATGGTCCGCCGATTTAACTAGTTTGGACATATCTTGAGCTACAAACCATGACATTTGGCATTCTTTATTGATTAGGAAAGCTTATAAAAAGATATATAGCTTTATGGAAGACATTAAAAGCATATTTAGAATTTAAAATATATGAAATAAGGGAAAAATGTTTCTGCAGTTAATGTAGATAACTTATCTGCATTTATTCCCAAAACGACGTCGTTTTGGTATTGAAATCTTAAAAAATTATAAATGTAAAGACTATTATAACTCTGAAATAAATTAAAATTACAAAAACACCATGATTTCCGCCCCAAAACGACGTTGTATTGGGATTACTGCAGATAACTTATCTGCAGTAACTGCAGAAAAAACGAACCCATGAAATAAAGCTCAAAGTTATTGTAATGATGTTTTTATGAGATTTAATACATTTTTTATTTTTGATTTTTGATTTTTTTTTGTTGCATTTTTGTGGGATTTATGACTTTGGAAGGAGTAGTGATGGATGCATAATGGTGATGGCAGTGGAGTGGTGATGATGGTGTTATATCTCATACTAAAATAAGTTGTGCTCAACGTACACAGTCTCCCACCTCTAGTAGGTAAGAGAAAGTATTGATCGATGTTTAAGATGATGTTTAATAATAGAGGTAGGATCCTTTGATAGCGAGAAGTTGCAGGAATATTACATCATGCAAGATTTAATTCTGTAAATCATTTCATCGATACATAATACTGGAGTTCTTTTTTGTTGGCTTCATATATTTGTGAGTAAATGATGAAGACTATATAAGTCCAAACATTACTTTAATTTTTATTCTAATGATATTACTTAATAAAAAAAAATTTGTTGATGAGTAATCACCTTATGTTATCATTTTCATCATTTAAAGAGTATTTGTGGTTTGGAGCTCGACCCTTAACTGCTTGACCTCTCAGTTAGTGTTTTAAAACCCATATCAGACCGGCTGAGTCGACTAGGTTTCTGTAACTTGGTAAGGGCACCAGTTCGAGCTGCCTATTGGATCGATCATGCAGTTGAACCAGTTTCGATCAGTTGACTTGGCTGAGTCTCGGTGACTCATGGGTCGAATGGAACCTGGCGGGTCAAGCTCTTTTCTCCCTTAAAAAAATTGAACAAAATATTCCACTTTTGACAGTGGTCGGGAATCAAACCCAGCCTATGGGAGTGAGTAGGATTATCACTTACCACTAGGCTACTCTCAATTGTTGGTCAAAATGCACCTTATGTTATAAAACCAGAGAAAAAGATTTGAGGGAAATAAGAGAAAGTATGATTCAGGAACCTTATTATTCATCGATAATCCCCATTCTTACAAGAATCATGTCCTTATATAAGACTTTGAAAATAATGAAAGAATAAATACATTGAATACACTATTAATGTTGTGGTTACATAATACACCAAAAGACATGGGCAACCAAAGAGTTATCCACGTATTAAACTATATATTTTACAACACCTTATAATATATTTATTATATAATTTATATAAATTGGTTGGGAATCAAACCCAGCCTGTGGGAGTAATTAGTATTATCACTTACCACTAGGCTACCTTCAATTGTTGGTCAAAATGCATCTCATAATATATTTATCAGAAAAATATTTCTGCAGTTATTGCAGATAAGTTATCTGCATTTACTTCCAAAATGATGTCGTTTTGGGATTAAAATATTAAAAAATTATAATTATAAAGACTATAATAACCCTGAAATAAATTAAAATTACAAAAATACCATGATTTCCGTCCCAAAACGACATCGTATTGGGCTTACTGCAGAAAAAGCGAACCCTATATTTATTATATAATTTAATATAAATTTAGAACATTCCACTTTTTGATAGTAATTGAGAATCGAACTCAGCCTATGGGAGTAACTAGTGTTATTACTTACTACTAGGCTACCCTCAATTGTTGGTTAAAATGAACCTTGTAATATATTTATTATATAATTTCATATAAGTTTATTTAAACTGGTTGAACTACTGACCTACCGGTTGAACCATTGACTCAGTGCCTCGACCAAGTTGATGACCAGGCCGAGTTTTGAAACACCGCTCTCAGTATTAAATAGCCTGACTATCATTAACCCAGCCTCCGAAAGCGTTGGTGAACACACAACAAACAAAAAAATAAATACAGAGAGGGACAATAGAGAACACCAAAATTTAACATAGACAATCTCTTCAATATAAAGAGTAAAGATAATAGGATCAAGTTATGAAAACTTCCACTATGAATAATGGAATTACACAAGATTCACTTTAATTCAGCAACCAAAGGACTCTACCCTCTAAAAGGATGGGTTACTCACACAAGTATTTCTCTCTCTATATAGGGATATAAATCCTTCTCTACAGGCTTTTGTTCTTTGTTTAGCAATGGTGCTGAGTTTCTTCCTCAAACGATCTCCGCTTTTGGCTGTGGCTTTCTTCTTCATTTTTCTCTCTCTGTGCTTTGCAAAGGCTGCGACCAAGCATCTCTCATAAATAAGAGATTAGGGCACCAATCAATTGGGCCGGGTCTATCATAGGTCACAGAACCAACAGATTAAAGTATTAATTACTTTTACAAATTGGGGGTTGAGTATAGTTATCATTTACCACTTTTATTACACATTTGATTATCGTTAAATTGTCAAAATCGTACGCTCTTAAATAAGGTAATCCTTAAGTACAACTGTTACAATAGTTTGTAACGGGTGTAAGAATATTTTCATTGAAATCTTCTTTTCTTAAGGAGAGAAGGAATGGTTCTCTTTAATGGAATTCTGCTTTCAAGATATTCCCAACACAATTGGTAGATAATTGAGTTTCTTAAGCATGCTGACAATGATTCGATCTTTGGCCATATGTATAGAAAAGACTTTATTGGGAGATATTTATTCACTTAATGTGATCTCCTACTTTGAAAGGATTAATCTTAGGCTATCAGCCAGAGGATATTTTAGGAAACAAAAAAAAAAAGGAATATTTTTTTATCAGTTGAAAAAATGGTTGTTGATGCAAGTAAATGAATTGTTTAAGGGAAAAATGTTTCTGCAGTTACTGCAGATAAGTCATATGCATTTATTACCAAAACGACGTCTTTTTGGTATTGAAATCTTAAAAAATATAAATATAAAGACTATTATAACCTTGAAATAAATTAAAATTACAAAAATACCATGATTTTCGCCCTAAAACGACATCGTATTAGACTTACTGCAGATAACTTATATGCAGTAACTGAAAAAAAGCGAACCCATTGTTTAAACGAACAAAATCATAACTATTAATTAATTAATCACTCAGGCAAATATCATTTGATGAGTGATGGATGGCACACATCAAATCTAGTGAATGTAAATTTGACTTAATTGAATTTAAAAAGAGGAAATTGATGGAAGAGCCGCGAGCTCCACAAATTCAGCGCACTAATGAGTTCAATTGATGATTAATTCCATAATGAGAAGCAAAGGAAAATAATAATTGTATAGACTAGAAAAAGAATAGTAATCCAAACATAAAAACATTTTAATATGGAAAGGTTATATTTATAAATTTTTTGTTTACAAACTCTTACAAACTACACCTACACTGTGTATAATCGGTCATACTTTAATTAATAGTGTATGACCGATAATATTTAGTGTAATTTGTAAAAAAAATTTATAAACTAATCATTCTCCTTTAAAATAAATGCAAACAAAGTTAGCAAATAAAAAGCATAGTAATCCATAAATAACAAAAATAGTAAACCAACGGCAATAATGGGGCGTGGTAAGAGCACAAAGGATGTTGACTAGGACGAAGAGAAGGCGAAAAAACAGGGGTATATGCGGGTCGAATATTTGAGTGAACAGATGTTTTCCTTCGCCTTTGTTTTGCTCTGTTGCCTATAAATGATTGGCCATTCCCTTCATCTCTTTTGCGCACAGCCAATTTTTCTCTTCATCTCTCTTTCTCTCTCGGAATTCATTAAACCTTCTCTCATACCTGGAGGTCAGCGTCTAGCATTGTCCCTTTCTCTTTAACTTTTATGGATTGACTCATCCGCATGCGTTATGTCACTTATATGATTTTACCATCAATGTCCACTTTATATGTTTCTTTTTCCCATCTCATAACAGCTAAGAAAGAAGGTTGTGGTATTTGCCATCCCAACATGCATTACATTTATATATCATGCATTACTTTTATCCTAATTTGTTTTTGTTTTTGCCATTCATTAATTACTGCATCGAGGGAACCCTTTGTGTCATTACAAAATGCATAATTCACTTTGAGAATTTCTGAATAAAACTTTTGTGTTTCATTGTCTTCATGTTACTCTGCATAGTTATATTGTTGTGCTTGATTCAAGACAAGGTTAACGTAATTGTTTGTTCCTCCAACTGTTGGCTTTACTTTTTGTAGAGAAGTGAAGCATTTGAGAATTGAGAAAGAAAGAAAGAGAAGGAAACTTGGTGATTAGGCTTGGTAGTGATGGCCAAGGAGCAAATTCAGGTGCTAAATGCACTAGATGTGGCTAAAACGCAATTGTATCATTTCACAGCAATAGTTATTGCTGGAATGGGATTCTTCACTGATGCTTATGATCTGTTCTGCATATCACTTGTTACAAAGCTACTAGGCCGCATATATTACCATGTTGATGGTGCACCAAAGCCTGGCTCATTGCCCCCAAATGTGGCAGCTGCAGTTAATGGTGTAGCATTCATTGGAACACTTTCTGGACAACTTTTCTTCGGATGGCTTGGAGACAAAATGGGCCGGAAAAAAGTCTATGGCATGACTCTAATGCTTATGGTAGTATGCTCCATTGCTTCTGGTCTTTCTTTTGGGCGTGATGCAAAGACTGTCATGGGAACTCTTTGCTTTTTCCGGTTCTGGCTTGGTTTTGGTATAGGTGGAGATTACCCTCTTTCTGCTACCATAATGTCAGAGTATTCTAATAAGAAGACTCGCGGTGCCTTTATAGCTGCAGTTTTTGCCATGCAGGGGTTTGGAATTTTGGCAGGAGGCATTTTTGCTATTATAATTTCATCTGCGTTCAAGGCAAGGTTTGATGCTCCACCATATGAGGTTGATGCATTGGGTTCAACTGTTCCGCAAGCTGATTATGTTTGGAGGATAATTCTAATGGTTGGGGCACTTCCAGCTGCAATGACTTACTACTCCCGGACCAAGATGCCAGAAACTGCCCGTTATACTGCCCTTGTTGCTAAGAATATGGAGCAGGCTAATGCAGATATGTCTAAGGTCATGCAGGTGGAGATTCAAGCTGAACCACGAATGGAGGAGCAAGCACAAAATGGTCAATCGTATGGCTTATTCTCAAAGAAGTTCCTCAGTCGCCATGGACTGCATCTACTTGGAACAACAAGCACATGGTTCTTGCTTGATATTGCATTTTACAGTCAAAATCTCTTCCAAAAGGATATCTTCAGCGCAATTGGTTGGATTCCTCATGCACAAACCATGAATGCCCTTGAGGAGGTTTATTTTATTGCAAGGGCTCAAACGCTTATTGCTATTTGCAGTACAGTTCCAGGGTACTGGTTTACAGTGGCATTCATTGACAGGATGGGAAGATTTACAATCCAGTTGATGGGTTTCTTCTTCATGACTGTCTTCATGTTTGCTCTTGCCATTCCTTATGAACACTGGACTCTTAGGGAGAATAGAATTGGATTTGTGGTGTTGTATTCCTTGACCTTCTTCTTTGCTAACTTTGGGCCTAATGCTACCACATTTGTTGTGCCAGCAGAGATTTTTCCAGCTAGATTCCGATCTACTTGCCATGGAATATCATCAGCATGTGGGAAGCTTGGGGCTATGGTTGGTGCTTTTGGATTCTTGTATTTGGCACAAAACAAGGACAAGAGCAAAGCAGATGCAGGGTACCCTGCGGGTATTGGTGTGAGGAACTCACTGCTTGTGTTAGGTGTCGTTAACATTTTAGGTTTCTTGTTTACTTTCTTGGTGCCTGAGGCAAAGGGAAAATCCTTAGAGGAGATGTCAGGTGAGAATGAAGAGGAAGCTGAAGCCTAGGTATAGTCCAATCAACAAAATGTTTCAGTCTACAGAAGAACAATATCATATGATTAGGTTATGACCACCCGTATAGTTGTGCTTCCAATTAAGTTAGAGAATAACCAAAGCGCGCTTTCCTTTCCCATATGCTCGTTATGTTTGATTTTGCTTTATTATTTTGTAATTTGTTGTACGAATGATTGAGAATTATAAATATTTGAATATATTGTTCTTTTTGTTTCTTGATCACTAATGTGTAGTTATTTCAATACCTTGGCTATCGGATTTGATTGTTAGTGTTTTAAACATGATTTTGTGAACACAAATGAAAATTAATTAATCGTCAATCTGAATAGATCAAAATATTTGACCCTCATTCTATTAGGTGTCTTTTGCGATGTGGAATTTTACACCCGAAATGTAACATCCCGAGCGCTGACGAGGGCGAGGAGTGATTGCCGGGCATGGACAAGGAGTGACTCCTGACAGGCTTCCAGCGACGGGGTTGCATAAATGAATCGAATCAACACCCGAAAAAGAGGGATTCCAAAGACTGTGCTGGTATGAGACGGTACAGTTGAGAATGACTTATAAGAATTAATTGGTACTACCTATACTAACAAGATGCATCTACTTTCGATAGCCCGGAACGGAAGAACTCCATAGTTAAGCGTGCTTGACTTGGAGCAATTCTGGGATGGGTGATCTCTTGGGAAGTTTTCCCAGAAATTGTGCGAGTGAGGAAAAAGCACATTGAAAAGTCTCGTGTTAGTATGTGGGGATAGTCATTGATTCTTAAAGCGGCCAGGCGTTACAAGTGGTATCAGAGCAGGGCCTCTCTTTCAGTACGGTGTGGTTCGAGGACGAACCAGGCGAAAGCTGGTGGGCATGTAACATCGTCGATGCGAAAGGACATGGACAAGGAGCGGCTCATGGCAGGCTTCCAGCGACGGGAGTGCATGAATAAATCGAATCAACATCCGAAAGAGAGGGATTCCAGAGACTGTGTTGGTATGAGACGGTACAGTTGAGAATAACTTATAAGAATTAATTGGTACTACCTATACTAACAAGATGCATCTACTTTTTGGTAGCCCGGAACAGAAGAACTTATAGTTAAGTGTGCTTGACTTGGAGCAATTTTGGGATGGGTGATCTCTTGGGAAGTTTTCCCAGGAATTATGCGAGTGAGGAAAAAGCACACTGAAAAGTCTCGTGTTAGTATGTGGGGATAATCATTGATTCTTGAAGCGGCCAGGCGTTACAGGAAATGTGCTCGCTTTTTTAAATTAAACTTCCACTTCATTTTATCATTAACACGAATCAAGTATATTATTTGATAGAATTGGTTTTTAACATTGTTTCTTTTTTATTTGATAGAATATGTTCATCCATTGCTCACTACTTTCAAGCTAGTAACAAGATATTATAAATTTAAAAAAGAAGAAGAAGGAGGGATCCACTTACTACTAAATAAATTTACTTTTTTTTTACTACCAAATTGTAATTGTTGATTTTCGTCAATATGAGGGTTATAATATATTGGATGACACTTATTAATTAAATATTAATTTCTAATAAATTATAACCGTCAAATTGACATAAATTAAGGGTTAAAATTTAGTGATAAAAAGTGATAAATTTAATTGATGGTAAATATATCCTACCTCTTTAAAAAATTATGAATTATGTATATGACGATAAAATACTCAAATAATAATATAATCAAACATACTAATGTGTGTACCTTGTTGAATCATAATGAAAGAAAGTGGACAAATGTGGTGCTACGTGCTAGAATCTTCCTCTCTAATATTCAAAAAAAAAAAAAAGAATCTTCCTCTCTCTCTCCCCCCTATTGTTCAATATTTATAAAATACCAAAATCCAAAACCCTAATGATTTAATTCTTTATCAAAATCACGAATTGAAAATTACTAATGATTCAATTTTCAACCAAATTCTAAAACTAAAATCGCAAATCGTTCAATATGATCAAAGCTATGATATCAATTGTTAGGATTTGAAAGCACGCACGTACTCATACATGTGAATTGTCTTTCAAATGACACGGTCATAACCATCACCCTATAACCTCGTACACATCATATTGAATTATCAAGAACTTTCAGGTCATAACACTAGCCTAATTAATTTCTTTATTTTTGCGCCATTGGACTCCCATGGGCCTGGTATCCACTCATTCAATCCATGCCAATTTAGGAATATATTTGGGCTCTTTAGTTTGATATCACTTAATTTATTCAACAAATTTTTTTTTTGGTATATATAGTTTATCCAATAAGTTCAATAACATGATATAATTGAAAATAAAATATGGAACCCACAATAACACAAGGAAATAAAATATTGTAAGTATAACTTATAACATTTTTTTCGACTTTGTTATCATGATCTTATTTTTTATTTTTTTGGAGTTGACACAACTCTAATTATCTCTTTGAGGTGAGTTGATTTCTTTTGGTATCTCCACAAATTTTAACTTTTTAAGTCGGTTATGGGACAAATTCAGAGTGCAGAGCGGGTTAGTGATGAAGATATTTAAATTCCTTCCAAAGATGACATGTGAGGATCGAACCAAAGTCTTTTTCTTTTTATTTACTCAGCTCTCTTGTAACCAACTGAGCTATCACTATTTGGTCATGATATTATTTTTGAATTGTTGATTTGATTTTAATTCAATAATAAATAGTTGTAAGGAAAAAGAAGTTGTAAGTATAACTTTTTTATTTTTTTATAAAGTAGTATATTAGACGTAGTTATGTTAGATACCTCATTACTGACATAATTCTTTATTATAGAAAAAAGACATACATAATCAAGCAGTTATGCGTTTTCCTTTCATTATGGTTTCCATTCCATGTTAGCGCATATATAATCAAGTATATTAAATTGGTTTCTTCACCAACCGTTTTGAAAATCTTTTTCCTGCAAAAAAAGGGCAAATTTCAACGGTTGTGTGTCGTTTCGAGTGGGACTCTGGAGACTTTTGTTGTCATATATTATGGGGTTGGCAATAATTAATTACAGTATCAATCGTTGGAAGCATCCTTATTCCCTCTATCTACCAACGGTACTTGAAGACTTTTTCAAACAGTCTAAATATATATCTGACAGCCTAAAATATTTATTCAATTACCATATAAAGGTCCATTGTTACATTTTTTTGGAAGGATAAGTTAAGTTCAAGAAAGGAAATAAAAACATGACCGTTGAATAGAAAAAAGAAGTGGAAATGCAAACAAAGGGTAGCCATATATCACTTAACTGAACTGATTTTCGAAGGCTAAAGGAAAAGACCTTTTTTTTAAGTAGAACAATTAAGAAACCCTTTAATTAAAGAGGATGAATCTCAGGAATACTGCTTTTCTTTTACATATTCCTCAAGAGATAAGTCCACTGGTTATATATATAGTCGAGTTTCTGCATCCTTGTGAACGTATTCAGGCCATAACATGGATTCTGAAATATATGAATCTAGTTTCCTGAACAAAAAATAAGGAATTTGTTTGGATTAATGGATTCAATGTGATTGCTTGGAGATCTGAAAGTTTTTCCTCAATTTATATGTTTTGCTTTATTTATAATAAATATTGTGATCGAAGTATTTTAACAAATGATTAGATTCAAAGAGGATTTCTAGAAACTTAATTATGACATTCTAAATAAAATGAATTTCATTCAAATAATGAATTGTAAGATATACTAAATATGAATAACAAATATTGAAGAACAGTATACTAGCATACATATAATCTATGAATTTAAATAGGAGGAATGAATAAGTATTTAATGATGTAAATAATGCACATATTTACCAACATACATAGCTTGCTAAACAAATATATATATATATATATATATATATATATATATATATATATATATATATATATATATATATATATATATATATATATATATATATATATATATATAATCGCAACATGGAAAGGTTTCTAACTTTCAAATGAATACCCTCAATTATTTTCTTAAGCACAGTTTTCAAACAATTCTTTTTTTTTTCTCAGCCATAAAACTAGTATGCATCTATATTATTTGAAGCACAATACTATGTAGCACCGATACGACACGCGACACGTGACACGACACGACACGACACTCCGACACGTCAATCCTAAAAAATTATGAATTTTGACACGTTGGGACACGTTTTAATATTAAATAATATTTTTAATTTATATAGTGTATATTTCATTAAAGATTAATAATTTAACAAAAAAATGAAACTAAATTAATAATACCCATCAACACATTATAAAGATGGAAGCTTTAATAAAAAATAAGAACTGAGATGAGAGAGAGAGATAATATCAGATAGAGAGATCAAAAATCATATTAGAGAGATCAGAGAGAAGAAGATACAACAAGAGCATAATATGAATTGACAACAATGAATGATGCTGAGATGATATCTTATCTACTTAAGGAGAAAAAATACAAAAAAGTAAAATTGATATGATCAGGTGGAAGTTTTATTAATATATTTTGATTTTTTTTAAAAATAATTTTTTTTTAAAATTAAAAAAAAATTACGAAAATGCCATTTGACCGTGTCGGACACGGTCAAATTCGCGTGTCGGAATGTTCAACGTGTCGGAAAAAGTTGACCGCGTGTCCGACATTGTGTCGGAGCGTGTCGTCGTGTCGGAGCGTGTCAGACACGACTCTTCCTGTTTTTACTAGTGTCCGTGCTTCCTTGGCACAATATCGATCTATGTATTAGTAATTAAATACCTAGATGATTGTAGTGAATGTGAGATCTGGTACATTGAAAAACAAAACAAAGCTTCAGTAGTAACCGGTCACAATAAGTCAGCAAACCCATATCAACTGGTTGGGAATTCTGTTTGAGAAGATATGATCATGACTCATCCCGACTCATTCTTATTATTTGAATAGTTGCTGACTCATAGCTTATCATTTATATCTATTAGGATCCATTGTATTTAGTAGGATGACTCATTTTAATATTTGCT